CCAATGCTTCGCCACAGCGCGACGAGGCTTCAGTCACGATGCTTCCACGTCCTAGCTGGGTTCCCGAAGCTCATCCTAGCATTCCAGTGCCACGCATGACAGCTTCCGAGGAAATTCCATCCAGATGGGTACAGGCGATGTCTGCGCCTTCTCCTCTTTTGTCCCAGTCACGAGCATCATCGGTCCGCCGGTCTGACACCTCCGAGCGACGCAGCTCCCGAGACTCTCGACGGTCAGCCTCTCCCCCCACCTCCTCACGCAAGCAGCTACTACCAGCATCGCGGAGTACTTTCCTGGCGGAATTACGCAGGTTGGGAGATGAATTTGCAGTTCGCGAAGCAACGTGGTCCAGCAAGAAGCCCTTGAACTGGAACTTGGAGTTCCTCGACGTAGGGTTCCTACTCATTCCTGACCCCAAGGCTCAAGCTCGACTTCGCTATTGGGCAGCTTGCTCCGGCGACGCATCATCTATGGCCGCCATCCTTTTCAAAGCCATCTGCTTCAGCATTCCGTTCGCGATCGGGGTCAAAGTCGAGGATTTCAGTCGTTTTAAACCAGAAGAGGTATCGGATATGGACCGACTCGTTGGGAAGCCAACCTGTAACGTGGAACCGCCTTTTCTCTACACAGCTCAAGGGGCCCTTAAGGCTTACTACATGAGCCGTGTCAACGACGTCATTCGTCGCCCTCATGCCAGGATTCTCATAGGCATGGGGGGCCCTATCGCTTGGCTAGGTCGCAAATGGGGCGGAGCAGAACTGGTCGCGCAGTTCATGTCAGGGCCTTCCCCAGACGTCTACGTTCATCGTCGCGGATACATCGATTCCGACGACGAACACCCGTTGTTTTTATACACCGACGAGATGTCTCCGCAAGAAGTCGACGTCATGTTTGGCTGTATCCGTAGCGACAGTGACAAAGATAAATCCCTCTACCCATCCAAGGACATATTGGACGACGGCTGCTTCTTCTGGACGGGCGAGTGGGATAGTCGCATGGAGGACATGTTCGTGGACTTGACCAAGGAAATCTTACAGGGTACAGCGAAATTCCGCACGCCAGGAATGTGGAACGATTATTTTCGGCGTCGGAATCGCATGAGCAGAGGAAATCGTGATCGTTTGAACCACATCGTACCAGCTTCCTTAATGCACCTTCATACCCGGATTTTAGACGGTTTCCACGTCGATTGGCACAAGTCTCGCATTGCTCGCATCGAAATTCCGGAGGAGTACAGAACCCGTCAAATCGGAAATAGGGGGGCTTTGTGAGGGGTCGATACTAAGGCATTCCCCTCTCTCGTTATATTTCCTATTCAACGATGTTTGTATCCTTCTCTAGCGCAATTCCTCTTCTACAATCTTCAGAGTCACGCAATCACGCTTAGTCATGTTTAGTCACGTTTAGTATAACTACCTTGTAAACAGAAAAGAATATTACTTCTTCTTACACCATATTCTTTTCCTATCTTGTTGCACGAGCATCGTACTCACGACTCGCCTCAAGCCTGTTGAAGATTCGCGTTCGAAGAGATCAAGGTCAGTTCCTATAGAACTAACTTTAGGAGCTCGTGTCTCCTGTGAAAGCTAACGAAGCTTTCTTGTATTTTCCCATTTCTCCGAAGGGACTTGTTCACTCCCTTCTGCGGCTTTCCGAGAAGGTTGAGACATCCGCGCTCGTGGTTATCCAGGGCATAAGCGGACTCTCGCGTGATCAGGCTTCTTCTTTCTCTCTAGATTCAGACCTGCATTTAGGGTCATCACACCATTACTCAACCCTTACGTTCGACGTTCGCCAGACTTACTCGCCGTTGGTAAGAATCCCACTCAGCGACTAAATCCCCTTAGAACAGGGTTGCGCAATAGGTGAGCACAACAAACACATAGTATTCAGTGGCTTTAGTTCATGTTAGGCTCACCACTCAGGCCCCTCATGATTTGGTATCGGCTCAAAATATGATGCTTGGGACTCGGACGGAGTACTATATGTTGAGTTTTATTCCACTCTGCACCAGTATGCAAGTACTGTAGCATTTCATTCAATTCGACGGTCACATGTCACGGTGCCCTTCAAATTGCTGAAATGTCACGGTGGTCACGCAGATTTTTGTAAGGTGTCGAAATCATCTGGCGCTCATGTGATAAATGTCAAAAAATTTCGTGGCCTGCGGCGCTGAGTGGTCGAAAATTTGCCCAAATTTTCGGCTTGTCACGGCAAATTTGTGTGGTTGTTGAAACCAAAATTTTGACAGATATGTCATGCATCACGGGCCCTGTTGAATTGAACAAAATGCTACAGTAGATGGTATACAGAACACCGTGATTGAGAAACTTCAAGAAACCGTTGTATTTTCAACAGGAGCATGGTTTACAACAGACACTCCTCAGACTCATCTCTATATTAGGGGAGTTCACGGTAGCCAATTTGATTCATTTTTTATCTCATTTTTTATTTCATTTTCTAGAAAAATGAGATAAAAAACGGAGCTAGAAAACGACTCAAAAACAGGATGTGTGTCCGTTTTTGACATGTTTCTATTTTTCATTCATTTTTCATCAATTTTTTGTCTTCGGCGCTCAAGTC